CCTATTACTTTGAAAATACAGTCGAAACTGTCTAAGATGACCAGTCATTGTCATAGAGAACGTGGCTGTCTTCAACGGGGAATCGGCATAAGTTCACTGTCATTATTAAAAACAACAAAACACTCACTCACAGGGGGGGGGGGTGTGGCCGTTTGTACAGGTCTTGCACATGTGGCCGTTAGAGCAGGTTCGGTTGTAATTTTTTTCATATGTGTATTCTGTTTATGCTATGAACAGAATTAAGATCGTCTAGGGGGTGGGCTGCTTCGGTCTTGTCTATCAGGGCGAACCAACTTTGTGCTGAGAAGGGCTCATCATCTCCGAATGCGGGTGGAGAGATTCGATTTAAAATTTAAAAGAAAAGAAAAATATCCCTACTCCAGAATTGCACTCACGCCCTCTACATGTGGCGGTGAGGAGCCGTATATTATTATAATATCACATCTCTAACTTTGTGTAACAAGGACCCGCCGTCCCGTACTATAGAATTCACAAAGCCGTGTTGTGTTCGTAGGTCTCAAAGGACATCCTTCAAGTTCAAGTCTGTCTGTCTGTTTCTTTTTCTCAAACGTTTGTTTGACATCTTTCCTTTGTCGCATACATATTCGTATATAGCATTGTATGTTTGTAACAACGGATACGTTTCGTTTGTCCTTCTGGTTTTCTGAAAATGAAAACATTATAAATGTCGACTGGGGGAGGGAGAGAGGGGATGGGAGGGAGTGGAGGAAGGAGGGAGAGACAGACACACGGACAGAAAGATAAACAGACAGACAGACGAACAGAGAGAAACAAAGAGAAATAGAGACAGAGAGAGAGGAAGTGTTTTTAGATCTTCTTGATCTAGTGTAGACAAAATGGATGAAAGAACACTGACCTCGTTTTGTTTGTTTACTTGTGTCTACATTGTAAGGAGAGCTCTATCGGCATGATACCCTTGTAAATGTCATAATTATATTGCTGGGGGGAGGCAAGGAGGCGAGACGTAGGATGGGAAAAAACAATTTATAACAAATGGACGTGGTGAGAGGTAGAGCCGACCCGCTGACCTACTGTTGTGGCTAGCGTACACCGGGCTCTTGAAATCTTCCATTCCCTAATCTAGTTTCATATAAATACACAGAGAGAGACAGACAGACAGAGACAAACAGAGGCTAGAACCCTCATCTGGTGGATCGGCGTCTGCGGTTTAGCGGTTAGGTGCTTGGCTGTCTCACGCAGGAGATCCGAGTTCGATTCTCGAGTGGTGAGAAAAGGGGGGGGGGAGGGAGGTAAGTGTGTTACGACACTCGCAACTGCACAAAGTCATATGAGCGTGCGGGACACAATAAACATTTTCAGTTGGTGTGAAATTTAGATTTTTTACCGGGTGGCGGCCGAAGGCTACTCCGATTTTGAACCATCTAAGGATCTTTAAGGTGCGCAACTTGCACACTGGACCTCCGTGATTTTTCGCCTTTATCAGAGAAAGCTATGTGTAGAAAAAGTAGATCTTACCCACCATAAGATCAGGGGTGTGGCTGAAAGGCAGCAGTAAGAAGGAGCCAAGGAGTAACAGTAGAAAGGCTGCAGCCCAGAGGAGAGAACAAAGGAGGTGAGGCGGTGGGAACAGAAAAGGAAGATGAAAGCAAACGACAGAGCATTGTTAGAGAGGAGGAAAGGATGTGAAAGGAGAACATTTTAGAACAGAAAATGCTCCGTCGCTATCCGGATTCGATTCGAACCCGGGAGCTATTGAATGAGAGGCAAACGCCTTAACCTCTAGAAAACGAGAGCCCTGGAGAAATTGTTATCGAGTATCTCGGATTTTCTTCTGGGATGTTGTATTCTTCTCAGCCCTTGTTGATAAGGTCGAAAGCCCGCTTCCTGAATGATCTACATTGCATCGGTGGAAGCATTAAAACTACAATGCAATAAAAGCATTATCCTATAATGTGTGCCTGGGGGAAGTTCGCAGTTGTTGGCAAAGCTGTTTTTGAGCAACGGTGGGAAAAGACCAAAATAGTCATACATGGTCAAAAACTTAGTTCTATCAGAAAACACGCGTTTAACCATTTCTTAATAACATATTGAAAGTTATGACATTTAATGTTGCATGCAACATGTTGTATTCCCTATTCCACCGAAGGTTTAAAATGTGCTAGAAATTGGGGTTTTCTCCTAACTTTGTTTTAAACCCTGTGCTAGAAAATGTGGCATATCTCTGTAAAACTACTCAAGATATTTGAAATATATTTAAAAATCTGCTTGTTTAGCATTGAATTTGCTCAAAGAATATGCACGTTTGTCAATATCCAAAATTTCTGACAACTGGGACCTTTCTCCAGACATACACAAGTGTGGTGGGTGGTCGGAAGGCGCGCCATGTAGGCCCCACCTCTTCGCTTTCCTTCTGGTGTGGTTTGCTTCTTCTTTCCTATCAAACATCTATCGTCCTTATCTCCCCTTCTTCTTTTTTATGTTTGTTACTCTCTTGAAACTCCTCTAATCTTCTGGCCCTCATATGACCTTAAAAAGGTTGCGAACGCCGTAAAACCTCTTCTAAAACTAAAGCTTTTCTTCCGTTGTTTCTGTCTATCTACCTTGCAATTCCCGTGCACTAAATACAATGTGATGTGGTCGTGTCAACGTGCTTCTCTTTAAACTCAAACAAAGTGGGTGGTTTGCGGATGCTTTGGTGTGATTTTCTCCTTTTTTTCTATCAAACATATATCGTCATATCTCTCCTCCTCTCCCTTTTTTTAGTACGTTAGATCTATTCTCTAGAAGAAACGCCACTAATCTTCGAAATCACCTCTAGGCTCTGTGTTGCAAGTGTGCTAAATTTGTTTTAAAACTAAACTCGAACAAAAAAAAGCCAATATAAACAATTAATAAAACATTTTACTGGTATTTTTTTCTTTCGTTTCTTTATAT